ATGACAATTATTCCGTCAAAGTGTTATGTTCACTGCAGTGAAATATCAAGTGTTATGTTCACTGCAATGAAAATATCACTTTTCTCAACTTCAGAAAACTCAGTCTTCCACACTGAAGTATATAATAAATATTCATTTGTTTGTCATACTCCTCCTTGTAAAGGATATATTCACTATTGGACAAAATAATCTGTAAATCGTTCTGGAAGACTTTCATTGGCTTTGACTTTGAACTCTAGGTCGTCACCATGCCGGACACTCTGAATATGATCGGCCATCTCCGCTGAAAATGGGCCTCCTAGGTGACTCGTGCCCAATGTTTCGACCTCGCTAGCACATCGCCGTCATCACTGTTGATGTTAACACCCCAGCTTGCAGTCGACAGCCATGAACGCATTGTCGGACGGAGAAGCCGCATAAATCTCGACAGCATCCTTGTACCTTGATCTGTTTGAATTCAAATTTCATTCCAATGCATGTGTATTATATTTAGCAAATTCAATGACTATATGTAGTTCGTAGTTCAATGCCAGCTGGAACTGTAACAGTCGTTCTGTTGTTTTAATATGCAGGCCTTGTTCAAGTAAGACATCAGCCAATATCGAGTGTGTCCACTTTCGGCGTTAAATACCTCGACACATCGTTGGGGCATTAAGACGTATACCGTCTCCCTGTTGATGTCTGTCCACATCTGGGCATGGCCTTAAGGCAAGTTCAAGGTCGTTCGCTGTTTGCATCGCATCGTCTTTGCATCTCATCCCAGAGATGCTGTCTGTGGTTGCTGTCTTGAGAAGGAGCAGGACTTGCCTGGTGATTGCCTGGTGCAACCTGTCGTCATAGCTGGAATATGGTGAGTTCGACATCGTAGATGTTTGATATGAAAGACCGCAAAAGCAATTTCAAGCTAGCAATCATTGCAATCACCAGTGTCCTTTGTGACCACGCTGGACTACACTTGTCTATTGTGGCCAAATGCTCCTCGAGTTCTTAACATAACTGATATAGTAACTTTGGATGTCTATGAATACTCAATGCCATTCAGAAAGTGGTCAAATGTAACAAAAGTCATATATAGGATAACACTTTCTTAGTACAGTTCGGGGGGCACGGGTGGCCCAGTCGTCTTAGGCGCAGCGATTCGCTGTGCAGAGTTGCGTCCCATGAGCACGCCAGAAACCTATGATTGTGGGTTCGAATCCCGGTTTGCCCCGATTATGTTTCTAGATTTGTCAGCACCATACCCGTGCTCGTGGGTTTCACCGAAGTGGTAAACGTCTGAGACCTGCATCACTTCGGGCTTTCCTCCCACATTAAGCTGACACGCCGTGATATAACTGGAATACTGTTAAAAGCGGCGTTTAACCCAACTCACTCACCCACTCAGTAAAGTTCAGATTCTTGTACTTTTTGGGGTTGAGTCCAATCCGGGATTCGGATGTCCAGTGGATGTTTACCTACACAAACATTTGGAAATGTGACAAGGGTCGTCTAGTTAAATATTACACCACATCAAAGCAAGAGTTCATTCAGGTCTGGGTGTACCGTCCAGCAACGCCAGAGCCACACATACTGTATACAGAAATATACACAAATACACAATATATGCAGAATATATGCAGAATATATGCAGAAATCTCAGAGCGAGATGGTCCGCCAATTAACTCCAGCCAAGGCCCACAGAATACGTGACAGGCGATGATGTAAGGAAATACACTGACGGTTGTCCGTCTCCAGGGACACCTTCGTCAGGCTGATGGCCATATCATTGGTTCCTATCTTTCTCCATGGCGATCCCTTCCCGAAGGTAGTTTAACTGTTGTCAACTCGTGTTGATATATTTGATAGCTAAAGACATCTGGGGGATCACTTGCTTGATAACGGTGTTAGAACCTACACCGAAATGTCGCTCCTAATTGTAATAAAGACGTTGTTAATCCATATATCTTATCCTTACTTAGTACACCAACTTCTAAATGCCTCTTAAAGAAGACATTCGGTAGAGATTCTCAATGTTTCCAGCCACGTGTTGTTGACCCTCTCACGTGGAGTACTCATCGGAGTGAAAGACCCTGAACTGTTTCCGGTATAAAATTGAATTAACCCAGAAATAAATCTGTACGTATTATAATTTAGTGTGAAGCCAACAAACAAACAACAAAAGGTATACAAACAACAATTGTTTTACTCAACCAACTAGGTTTTACAAATCAGTACAATTTACTGTACAGCAATTGCAATAGCAGTATGCAGTAGGGTACAATAATCAATGGCAATATGTAATATGATAGGTCAGTATACAAAAACAGTGATGATGGCAAAAGTCAGTGATAATAATATATTGACTCAGCAGCAGTGGTCAAGCTTCCGAGATAGGCATGCGCTGGGAATCCGGGATGATGAATGATCTTTACATAAAAGCTGGTCTTGATGAAATGTCAGATGACTTGAAGGGACCCGTTACACTTATATAGTAGTCTGACTAGCTTTCAGCACTTTCCACACAGTGCTTGACCAGTTCAGTGTCACTAGAACATCACAGAATATTCGACATGTTTGTCTAACGCTTGACATCCATCCATGCTATTCCGGACGTTAAAAGACAATTGAAGCATCTAAATATAATAACTTCCTCACCACCGTTTACAATAAATAGTACTACATTCCTGACAACTAATACAATGCAGGAATGCAATGAAATTCAAGTGCTTGATAACGGCGTTAGTATGTACTCCGAAACGTCGCATTCATTATACTAAAGAAGTTGTATATCCATAGAACTATCTCACTTGTTCCCCATACGAACGTCTAAGTGCCACTAAAGAGTATTATAGCTAAAATATAGAGAATTTGTAAAAGTAGGTCAGTGACAATCGTTGGGCGTTGATTTCAGTAAATGTTATTGTTTTTAATTTTATTGATAACAAATTCTTTCAATTTAAGCTATTTTAACGGTGACGCTATTTTTCAGAGCATTATCATTTGCAGAAGCCCTCAGTCTTCTATTAACTGCCCGAACTCAAACTAAATATATACTGAACCAAATTAAAAACTTATTGTGTATTTAAACAGTAATGGCCACGTATTGTCTTCAGATAACACCCGTTTTAGTGCAGGTGAATCGATCAAAATCATGTGCACAGCACTATTGTGGCAAAAGTGTTTTTTCAAGTGCAACTGGTCACAGCCATAATACCGCACGTGTTTTCAGCCATACTTGTTAGCAGTCATTAACAAAAAAAGAAAAACACAAGAAAACAAAAGTCTTTACGGCCATTTGTCATGCCACGCCTTTCAAATGTGCAACGTGAACGTGCCATCGGCATGTTGCAGACGGGAACGTCCGTAGCTGAACTCGCAAGGACGATGGGTTGTAGTCGACGGACTGTTTATGATTTACAGACGCGTCTTCAGCAAACGGGTACCACCGCTGATCGCCCTCGGCCAGGTCGACCACGTGTAACGTCACATGCAGAGGATCATCAGATTGTCTTACGTCACCTCCGTAACCGATTGTTGACGGCTACATCAACCAGAAATGAACTGTTTAGGGGTAGACTGAGTGCGCAAACTGTTCGAAACCGTCTGAGAACTGCTTACCTTCACGCACGACGGCCATACTGCGGGCCGATTCTGACTCAATTACACAGACGTCAACGTCAATTGTGGGCACAGCGACACTTACGATGGACTCAGAGGAATTGGAATCAAGTCGTCTTCAGTGATGAATCCCGATTTAATCTTCGATTTGCTGATGGTTTGGCGAGGGTGTGGAGGCGCCGTCATGAACGTTACGCCCAGTGTTGTGTACAGCAAGTTGACAGATTTCGAGGTGGAAGTGTCATGGTGTGGGGTGCTTTCTGTGGCAATGCACGTTCATGGCTTCTTGTCATCCGTGGCAACCTCAACGCTGCTGCTTACCGCGACCAGGTACTGGCACCAGAACTTCTGCCTTTTATGGCAGCACATGAACCCGGTTTGATCTTCCAACACGACCATGCCAGACCCCACACAGCAATTTTGACAAGGAATTTCCTTCGGAATGCGGGAGTCAACGTCATGGACTGGCCGTCATGGTCTCCCGACCTCAATCCCATCGAACACGTCTGGGATGCTCTTGGCAGAAGTCTGCGCACTCTCCAGAACCAACCGCAGAATTTGCAAGATCTTGGCACCATTTTGAAGCAACAATGGCGTCGTCTTCCCAATCATGTGTTAATAGCATTACAAGGTCCATGCGGAGGCGTTGTTTGGCAGTTGTCAACGCACATGGTGGCATACACGCTACTGAACTTGTGTGCTATCAGATTCTCGTGTTTGGGACTTGTGATTTAAACTGTTGATGTTATTACCGAATACCGTAGGTGCTTGGAACAAATTATGGTTACAACCGTTAATTAAAATCCTTCTTTGGACCATTATGATTAAAAATTACCTTCCCTGATACATTTGTCCGTTGTATGTCATATTACTTTCTAAAATGTGAAGTTTTTAATTTGACTCAGTATATATAAGTATTTGTAGACAAAACTTCAAATTCTTCATTTCTGCCATGTTCGTTGTACAAAGTAGTTGTATAATATATATAGAATAAGAAATAATACGTAAATTTACTCTTCCGGTCTGAATGATCACTTTTGTTTGAACATACATTTGTCGGTAAAATACGCCTTTGTGCCACCGTTTGTGGTTCCATAAGAATAAAGAATTCGACCATGAATTGTATAATGGCGGCCTATCAGAAATGGAATGTTGACCAGGGAAGTCAGTGACTGCAACATGAGCGGCGGCCAACACCGTCGGGAAGACACCACAACATCATTCCGGTCACCTGACCAGGTGATGCTCCTCAGTAGGCACACAGACAAGCACTGCATGCTGGGAACTTTCCCTTCGACGGAAACCACACAAGTTTGTTTTAAATGGAACGTGGATGAACAGATGGCACATCTGTTGCAAGAGTATGACACTAATCGACAACGCCCAGTGCCATTTTGATAAAAACAAAACATTGACGTTATCTACAAGTCACGTGAAAGGTGTGTTAATCAGCGCTGATTATCAAGATAGACAGATCTGCCGGAGTCGTTCAGCATGGAATGGTAAATACTCATCTCAAAAATGTCTTTTTTTGTCAGTGAAAGGATGCACAGTATGTTTGGTTATGTGTCATGACATTAGCTTTTGACATAATTGCATGTTAATTAAAAGACGTTTTACTGGTAAATGCTTTATGACATAATGTGATGAAATACTTTGGAGATGTTTCACGAAGACACGCTGGGAAGAAACATGCTTAAGCGTTCAGTCTCAAGTAAATTTCACCTATCTATCTATCTATCTATCTATCTATCTATCTATCTATCTATCTATCTATCTATCTATCTATCTATCTATCTATCTATCTATCTATCTATCTATCTATCTATCTATCTATCTATCTATCTATCTATCTATCTATCTATCTATCTATCCCTCCCACCCGTGAAGATCCGGGATAGAATAGGTCTTCAGCAACCCATGCTTGCCGTAAAAGGCGACTACGCTTGTCGTATGAGGCGACTAACAGGATTGGGTGGTCAGGCTCGATGACTTGGTTGATGTCACGGTTTCCCATTTGCATGGACCGATGCTCATAATGTCAATCACTGGCTTGTCTGGTCCAGTCTCGAGTATTTACAGACCGCCGTCATATAGCTGGAATGTTGCTGAGTGCAGCGTCAAACAACAAACGAAAAATATATCTGTCTATCTTATCTCCACTGTTACATATACATTAAACATTAAACACTGTTACACGTTTATATAAGTGCAAGGTCGCTGTTATACTTTAACATACACGTAGAAACAGTGTTACACTTTACCACACATATGTGAACACTGTTACGCTTTTATATAAGTGTAAGGTCGCTGTTATACTTTAACATACACGTAAAACACATAACCACACGTTTGAGAACATCATTCCACTTTAACATATGTGTGGAACAACAACGTGACACTTTGATATGTGTCTAACAACACTGTGACACTTGATATGTGTGTAACACCGTGACACTTTGATATGTGTGTAACAACACTGTGACACTTTGATATGTGTGGAACAGCACCGTGACAATTTGATATGTGTGTAAGAACACTGTGACACTTTGATATGTGTAAGAACACTGTGACACTTTGATATGTGTGTAACAACACCGTTACACTTTGATATGTGTGTAAAACACTCTGACACTTTGATATGTGTCGAACAACACAGTTACACTTTTATATGTGTGTAAAACAATGTGACACTTTGATATGTGTCGAACAACACTGTGACACTTTGATATGTGTCGAACAACACCGTGACACGTTGATATGTGTGTAACTACACTATGTCACTTTGATATATTTGTGTAACATTACTGTGACACTTTAACCTTCTCTGCTAATGGTTTCGTTGTCTGTTGCAGGTTGCTGATTGTTTGTGTGCTTCTCGCCACCGTTGCTGGTAAATGCCTGCTTTTCTTTAGATCGTGGTTAACATGGTCGTCGTACTTGCATGGTCGGTCACAATTTGAAAGTTGGACGGATTAGAATTAAGACTGAGAAAGATATATTTCAACACTTTTACTTTACTTTTCCACGTCCATTAAGATATAAGGTGTCAATCGCTTACGCATACACATTAATACATAATTGGTTGTTGAATACTGACGAAATGTTATGAAAATATGAATGCATTTATATTTTTTTTTCATTTTCTCATATAGGTACTTTGACGCAAGGTTTACCGAGACTCAGGTGAGACAAAACATATTTTTTCCCCTTTGCTCAAGAAGGACGGGTGTTTTTTTTCAAATTTATGCATCGATAACCCTACGGAGTGTGTACATTAGAGAAGAAAATATAGTTTGTTTTTTCTGGTGTTAATTTAATCTACATTTTCTGTAACGTATTTATTAACTTGATTGACGTCTTCCATGTTACGTTTTAGTTCAGAGGACTACACATTTCTGGAGCGCCTTCCTTCACCTCGTGTAGCACTTCCGGCAGGGTTCAAGGTCAAGTATGTCGGTGAAGGCGGGGTCATCAAGGACTCTAAACAATCCTCTGGTCACTGGATTGAAATTGCAGGTAGTCCACACTGTTCGGACAGTGCAGTATATGAGGTGAGGTCTGTGCGTGTTCCCGCACATGGTGGTCGGAATTACCTGTTCTCTGTTCCCCTTTGCTGTGAGGTGTCACTCCAGATACCTGTCACTCGATCTATGATTGAACACTCATTATTGATACCTGGTTCTTGTATATTCTATTTAATACACAATTACATTTAGAAAACGGTCAAATGCAACACGCGTTATATTTAGAATAACACTTTCTTAGTAAAGTAGAGATTCTAGTATTTTTGTGGGTTGAATCCCATCCGGGACTCGAACCCACACACCTTATCGTCAGCACACACAGTCAGCGATCTATCCCACTCTGCCATCTCGGCTTCCACAAAAATGAAAGTCCGACAACTGGTAGTCTTGATCACGTACTTTGTGTACCCCTCTGACAAGTGTATGAGTAACTATGGAACTATGAATACACAATGCCATTTAGAAAGTGGTCATATGTAACAAATATCTGGGCCGATTTGATATGGCACTTCGCTTGGTTGACACTCATTTCTGTACCGTCCAGCAGTACAGAACCATCAACAAAATTAACATTGACATTGAGATAATGTTCCACATCCTTGGCTCGTTTAAGAAAACAGTGGAATGCCTTGTTCATCATCCCTTGACATGCTTCACAGAGGATCATCAGACAAATAAATGTGTGCAATAGTGCACAATACAATTCTATCATAAAGAGTCTCCACGTTAATCAAACCACGCCCTCCCATTATGACTGGAAAATATAAGCGATTTAGGGAACAGTGAGGGTATTGGGACGTTGTTTGTTAGTGTTTTTGTTGTTGGATGTTTATTTTGTTGGTTGTATGTTGTGTGTTGTATGTTGTTGTTGTTCGTTGTTTATTGTTGTATATTGTTTGATTTTGTTCGTTGTTTGTTGTGTTCTTTGTTTATGTTTGTTGTTGTTCGTTGCTTGTTTTATGTTGTAGTTGGTTGTTGTTGTTGTTGTTTTGTTGTTATTACGTCCATTCTTTGTGCTGGCAGGCTGCACTGATCATCAGCCTACAGTCCCGTCACATGCCGACAGAGGTGTTCTCAAGACTCGCCGGGAAGTCCTCAGTTGGAGTTTTTACAAAGGCAGAGAAGATTACGATCTACCCCGAATTCTATCATCTAAAAGATACACCCGACTGTAAAGGTACTATATACATGTCCGACATTCGAATTCTAATGCCAATTCTATGAGTGAGTAGGGTTTTATGCCGCTTTTTGCTACAATCCAACAATATCACATTAGAAATTGGCTTCACACATTTTACCAACGTAGGGAATCGAACCCGGTCCTTCGGCGTGAAAAGGTAACATTTGACCACTGGGCTACCGGACCAAGCTATACCGTATAAATATAAGTAATACCGAATCAATTTTATGGCAAAATGGTATAATGTTTGTCAAGTACAAACTCACTAAGAGATGTTATGTATATTAAACAGTGCACAGTTGTGCCCGACTATCATAATGATAAAAGTGTCACACTGCTACACTGAAACATTATCTTAACGCTAAGGCGATCGAAACTCCCATACTTTAACACTGGCTTACGATAGTCGTAGCGCTAAGATCGCTTTGTGGCACGCGGCCCTGGTGTGTGACTATCATACCCTGGGCTCTGTGGTACGAGAATACAGCTGACCTTGCAATCAATGTTGGCTCACACTGCAGGGACATGCGCTGGCCACTGCTCTCACACCTGCACGTCTGACGGACGGAAGTGGGAGTCGCTCGGAGGGGTTGATGGGACCGGAAGGGCCATCGTCCTGGACGACAACGTCCTGTGCACTCCCCAAGATCCGCACCATCACAGAGAAAACATCCTGGTCCATGAGTTTGGGCACGGCGTTCAGAAATATGGCCTTGATTCCGCACGTATTCAAAAGGTGTGTAACTTGAGTTTCATATTAGTAATCAACACTTGTGTCTGTTACCTGCAGGAGAAGGACGGAGGAGACGGGTAACACGTATAATACATGGGGTAACATCAGTGGTAACGATAACACCTCTCCTGCCCGACAAAATGTAGTGTGCAGATTGGGTTGTTAGCTGCGTCCGTCCATCCGTCCGTTGGCACTGGACTAACAGCGCTTCTTCAAAACTACTGAACATTTTAATATCGTATTTTCCTAACATGTTTACATGTTTCTACCTCGGGGATTTCTGTTTGATTGAAAATAGTATAAGTCAGCTCTTCAAGTGAGAGAGTGAGTATGGTTTTACGCCGCTTTTAGCAACATTCCAGCAATATCACGGCGGGGGACACCGGATAATGGGCTTCACACATTGTACCTATGTGGGGAATCGAACCCGGGTCTTCGGCGTGGCAGCTCTTCAAGTCATACAATTTTGTTTTAAAAAATTAAAGGCGGCGCCAATATTCTTATTTCGACCCACAACTTATTATTAAGTTGAACATCGAACCCTTAAATAGAACGATTACTTTTGGGAATTGAACCTGAAGGCAAATAATTTTTTCCAGCTTTTTCGGGATTATTGTTTTCAAACGATTAACTGACAATTAAATCTAACATGTGTTTTGTCAGACAACTGAAACATGGTAACATTTCCTCAATGTCCGTCACTTCTCGTCCAGGTCATCGCCGCCTACAACCACGCTAAGGCTGCCCACCTGTGGACACACTCGGCCTATGCTATGACAAACTACAAAGAATACTTCGCGGAAGCGTCTACCGCCTTCTTCAACGTCAACCAGCAAACCAGTGCAGCCGGCATGAACAAGTGAATCTAAATAGTTTTATATTCGGATTTTATAAAAAGGACGTATTTTCATAAGAGCAGATTAAGTCAAACTTGTTTGGAGAGGGACTATGCTGCATGGTCGGGCAACCTTTTTCAGACAAGGTCTAGATTGGAGTCTTGTTTCTGTCTAGGTCTAGACGGGCACCTTGTTTCAGTCTAGGTCTAGACGGGCACCTTGTTTTAGTCTAGGTCTAGACCGAAATATGTATAGTATACCATAGACGTTATAGGCCTACCCTGGATGCGGCTACGGTTTGTTCCGGAAATGGGGTTTCATTGTTAATTTTAGGTGTTGTAGACAAGATGTCCCGTGTGAATTTATTACCCAAATGATCTCAAGGTTGCAGACTTTACAGGAAGGGGGAGGGGGACAATTTTCATTATGAATAATGTTTTCAATTCATTTCGTTCCAGATGTGGGCATGGCTATTATTGTGACACTGAGGCGCATGCGCGAGCGTGGCTGAAGCGGCACGACCCTCAGATCTATGACGTTCTTGTTTATGCTTACACCAACAACCACCCCGAGATCGCCAGCCATCTGAAGATATGCCAATCACACTAACAGACATTATAGCTAAAATGGATAGAATTATCATTAAACTGCCCGCATGTTATCAGAAATAGCCGCCCACTGTAACTTGATAATGCCCTCATGTTGCTTGACGACGGGCCATTATCACGCCCGTTTTTAGGTGGCGTCATAGGAATAGGGATAGGTGACGCAAAGTTCAATAGTGACGTCATCTGGTTTGTTCTATGACGTTTCCATATTTGTAAAAGTGGGTCAGTGACATTCTTATTGATTGCAGTACATGTTTCTAAACCCATATTGTTGTTTATTACTTGCCCGTGAAGAGATCCCCAGTTAAATAAACATATAGCTACGTTACACATTGTGTAATACCAAAACGCGTGCTTATGTACTCTCGGAACACGTTTCACGAACAAATATTGAAAGCTCTCAATATTCCTTGGCTTATTCAACAACATTGCGTGTGGAGATGAAAGATCACTGAGAGAAGCTTATGCACACTCGATGACCCCAGCAACCTTGTTGCTAATGACGTCACATGGCATTGTTTCGCCGATGGATCTTGCAACAAAATTCCACAAATTACGTCATCGGGTATTGTGACGTTATTGTAAACTTTGAGGTGCAAGGCCCCGTTCCAAAAGACGATCGTATTGTAGTCGTAAGTCTAAGTTAAAGTATGTGAATTGCGATAACCTTAGCGCTATGATAATTTTGTGGAACGGACACCTGAATTCTAAAGGTGGACCGTTGTATAGTATTACATTCATACGTTTAAACTTTTGACGTGTTTGAAATAGTATTCTGTTAAACTCAATTAGATTATGCCGTGGATCGTGTAGGTGTCACACTCACTCACTACTCAGACTCCACAGTATAATTCTAAAAACGTTACAAATGGCAAGTAATAAATAAAAAACTAAACTCGCTCCCGTGTAAAACCAATTTTATGAAACTCGTTCTTTTTATTTGATAACAAATTCTATCCATTTTAGCTATAATAACGGTAACGCTATTTTTTAGGGCATTATCATTTGCAGAAGCCCTCGGTCTTTTCAACTGCCCTCCTTAGTCGGGCAGTTAATGGAAGACCCCGGGCTTCTGCAGATGATAATGCCCTGAAAAATAGCGTTACCCTTCTAACAACCACTGTCTGAAATAAATTCTGAAAATGAATAGTGACTTTATATGTGATTCTTCAAATGAATTTTGTTGTAGACAGCAATGCCCTAGTATAGAATCGAAACTTTCGTAAATTACAAGACAAAAATCAGAATTTCACCCGAGAGTCTTTTGAAATCAAATATCAACAAGAGTTGAAAATAGTTTAAAACTCCGCTTACCGGTAATGAATTTAAACCAAAATTGTTCCTATTGTTTTCAACATGCCTGTTTTGATTAAATATTTGGGGGAAATTGTTTTATTGTAAATATAATTTGACGAACAAAGAGTTTGAAACCGTGTTGATGCTTCGCATCAAATCTTTTCTTCATTTCCTGTTTTTCATCTTAAACAATGTTTTTGACTTCTATGCGATTACCTCCCTTTACATACTGAACAATACATGAGCGCAGTAGCATCTTCAGGCCCAAACTAGGTCAAGCCGCATTCCGCTTGTGATAAAATGAAAATATTACTGACCACCGAACACATGTTACAACATATCGAGACTTTCAAGAACTAGTAAACTAGTAGACTACAAGTAGAAAATGGCATGTTATAAACAATTGTTTAAAGATAGAAATGCACAATTAGCCTGTGATGCATTTCAGGGTTTAAATAAAAAAATAAGCTAAACATCCAACAAAATATCGAGAATTTTAAGAACTGCTAGACCAAATGGGACAATGTTATTAACAAATGTTTTGAAAAATAGAAATGCATGTCGCTAATTCCCGTACTTCATAAATTCATGACCTGCGTTGGAGTGAGTGAGTGAGTTATATCATGGCTAATGAGCTTAATGTGGGAGGTAAGCCCGAAGTGATGGAGATCTCAGACTTTTACCACTTACGTAAAACCCACGAGCTGACAAACCTGGAAACATAATCGGGGCGAACCGGGATTCGAACCAACAAACATAGGTTCCTGGTGTGCCCAAAGGACGAAACTCTGAATTATGGGGATTCGTAAAAAAAAGAACTGAACAGCTAAGAACATAACGGGATGTGAAAAACACATATACCAAAACTGAATGTTACAGACAATTGTAGGTAAAGTTAGAAGTGGACATATTTCCTACACAATTACCCATAAACCCCTATGTCCCCCCACATACTTTTAACAAAACTGTTACAAATAGAACACGGCAGCATGGCCGCTATGGAATAACCAGCTATACGGCGGAGATTTGTGATGTGAGGCAGTTCCATTGCAACTATATCTCCAAGGAGATCTGTCGTGTGAGATATCATGCCTCTCTCATCTCGTGGCGGGGCAAAGGGGATATTTTCCACCGTCACGAGATGAGAGAAGCATGATATTTCACGAGAAATATGAAATATCCTATTTATTATATACTTTTTGTGCAGGTGTCTACCGGAAAATTAAATTAGTTCATTTGAAATGTAAAACCTTGAAACGTAAATTCTCCCTACAGAACACACAGGGACGGCCCACCACCCCTTGTATTTGAGACTTAAAAAGTAGTTCCGTGTTTGCACAATCTTAAACAAAATAAACAAAATTATCAACGGTGTTGGAAGCGAAAGAATACACTATGGTAAAGAAAAAAAAACGAATTGACGAGTAAAACGTGAAATTTTCGAGAGTTTAAAACGACAATGCATGTAAGTAATATTAACTCCATAAATGACCATCAGTCATTATTTTTTCTTGCCTTTGTGGAACTAACGTAAAAAGGATGCCAACAGTTTGTGTACGGGCTTGAAACTTACGATAAAGGGGGACAATTTAAGGAGAGGTAATTCTTGCATAACAATAGTTCCGTCAGTGTCATGTTCACTGCAATGAAATATCGAGTGTTATGTTCACCGAGTGAAAATCTCACTTTTCTCAACTTCAGAAAACTGAGTCTTTCACACAGAAATATATATACATAGAGGATATTTCATGTGTCGAGTGAAATATTTTGTTTCTCTTATCGAGTGACAGGGAAAGGAGAGATTTTCTGCGCCCTGTCACGAGATGAGAGAAATATGATATTTCACGAGACATATGGAACATCTATTTATTACATACTTTTGTGCAGTTGTTTATCGAAAAATTAAATTATTTCAGTACAAATGTAAAGCTTTGAAACGTAAATTCTCTCTTCCTAACACACAGGGACGTTTCATCACCCCTTGTACTTGTGACTTAAAAAGTAGTTTCGTGTTTGCAAAATCATACAAAAGTAACAAAAAAATATCTAGGATCACGGAAATTCTTTATTATACATTTGGATATGATTACATACAAAATCAACTTACACCAAAAATATTCTTGAAATCTACGAGCGAGAGAATACACGCTGGTCAAGTAACAAAAAAAGTATATTACAGAATATTTTCAAGAGAATAACAAACGGCAAGAAGCGATATTAAATCCATAAATGACGAGCTGTTATTATTTTGCCTTGTCAATGTGGAACTTATGTTCCAAGGAAGTCGACAGTTTGTGTACGGGCTAGATATTTATACGGCGGCCAAAGCGTTAAACAACACACAAGCTTTAAAATTCAAAGATTTAAGGTGTTAAGAAAAAAGGAAGAATGACAATCTTATCAACTAATGTAAAGACATGTAGCTGAGTACCCACTACGTGCCAGATATAACATAGCTTCAACTGATTAAATGTTGTGGAAGTAACTTACTAACTCTTACAGGTTACATAATCAGAATATTTGTACGTTACCCATTTAGGTAATTTAAGACCTATAATATTTGATACATTTAGTTTTCTTTAACAGTTTCTGTCAGTATTTTATGCTGGTCTGTTAACGATAGCTTTCATTTCTTTAACAAATTTCTAAATAATTCATTCTAATTTTATACATCTAACAATGTATTGGTTCAACTAATGGTTGTGTTTGTATCACATGAAACATATACGAGCTCGTAAGTAGCTAAAAGCAGTAGTGTACAGGGTAAGCGTAGGTTATTAAGGGTCGTGTTAATGGAGAATGAATGCACAGGCCTTCAAGTGTTACTCTTGTATTGTGTGTATTTCACGTCGATGGACACCAATGATGGGATTCACACGTTGAACCTACGTGGTACATCTAGTCAGCCAGGAATGATAAAATCACACCATTTATCATTATGAGTCTGAATGATGTATGGTCAGCAGCTACCCAGTTTTCGTGGCGAAATGGCCAAAGGTGCCACAGTTTACAACGTGAATGTCAGATACTTTTCTTTGCTGCTGGGTTTCAGCAATCTGAAATCTGCATGATCTGAGCAGGACCGGCTAATGGAAGGCTTTGTTAACAAACGTAAATAACCAAGTTCTAGAATATTTTCTCAAAGGAAGTTAACCATTTCACGACCTATGTTTCTCTTAATGTGTCTACAGACTCTCTTGTCTGTGGCAGAAGTACAGGGATGACCGCAAAAAACGCTGGGGTAGGAGAGAGTGTACCCGCCCGTGGTTACAAACCGGATGACTGCAAGCGGTTATATTAAGCAGTGCGTGCATCTCGAACTAGGTCAATGGCGCTTTAAGGTCATCTGTACATTTTTCTTTATGAGCACCAGATGTTAAGGTTACACACAACCAAATGTTTTCCCATAGACTTCTATAGTAACGTTATATATTTTTTTTAAATAACTAAGCATTCAACAGCTATTACCTGTACGTGTGTGCACAGTTTGGCCTTAGAGCAGCAATAAAAAAAATAAAAAATGACTAGCTTAGCCAGCTCCTTTTCCGAGTACAGGAAGCTAAACACACCACCCCCAGTTTCGCACCAAATGTCACCTACTTGAAAATAGCTGTGGTCACATTCAGCATAAGTCATCATGTTGAAAAAGACAGTACTAAATATAGAAAAACATGGTCAGTTTTAATAACTGGATGGATGTACATTTGAAAGACATAACAATCTTACAGAATATCCTCCAATCACAGCCTGCAGATATCTCTCGATCTGCACTGAAGGCTACGAAAACGAAGGCTACGAAAACCGCACTGTCCCAACTGGTTCTGATTTGGTGTAGTAGAACCTTAAATGTAGTCGGATCGTGACGGATAGTATGTTATGTATGGCCTAAAGAGGCTCGTTGAAGCTGAAAGCGCTCGTCTATAAATAGATTAATTATCTTTCAAGGTTTTTTAAAATCTTTATACTGTCTGAGAGATGAATTTTACAAACTTTGTGTATAGATACAGCTAAAGATCGTAGCATATGATCCTCATTATGTGTCAATA